GTCCTTTTCAAAGCAAGGGATGACACGTGGGAATTAGGGCATGCAGCCATCACAGGATGCTTCTGTTCAGGGTCTCTGATTCCTGTGCATACGGGAGATTACCCTCTTGGTGTCAGTAAGAGTTGATATTCACTTAGATATACATACATAGGACATTAAACAACAGTAGCACAGAAGTGCCTACAAATGCACAGAGTGTGACTGGACACTACTGGACTGTCACAAGATGTGTCATTTTTCTTAATAAAAGTTGGCAGTCATCACCCCTGGTTGGATTTTTTTTTTTTTTTTTGCTGCATTGGGTCTTCGTTGTTGTGCACGGGCTTTTCTCTAGCTGCGGCGAGCGGGGGCTACTCTTCGTTGCGGTGCGCGGGCTTCTCTTGTTGCGGAGCACGGGCTCTAGGCACGCAGGCTTCAGTAGTTGTGGCACGTGGGCTCAGTAGTTGTGGCTCGCAGGCTCTAGAGCGCAGGCTCAGTAGTTGTGGCTCACGGGCTTAGTTGCTCCGTGGCATGTGGGATCTTCCTGGCCCAGGGCTCAAACCCGTGTCCCCTGCATAGTAGGCAGATTCTTAACCACTGCGCCACCAGGGAAGCCCTGGTTGGAATTCTTAAGTAAATATTTATTGATTAAGCCTCATAATGCAAAAAAAATTCATGTTACTTACGGGACAGCGTTTCTAAACATTCTCAGCATTTTTCTGGAAATAATAAATACATTTTGTGAATTATAATAGTTTTAGAAATAATCTTAATGTAGTCCCATAAATTAAGACACATTTTCAGCAAAAACTCAGTCTATTTTAGGGATTGCCCTTCATCTGCAATATAACTAATAGGTATAAAAAAAACAAAAAACAGCTTTGGAGAGAGGCTCTGGGAGATACTTCATTCCGTTCAACACCTAGCCTCCATAATAAAGGAATGCACAATGGAATGACCACAGGGAAGGCGGTAAAGGAAAGGAATGAATTAAGGGGTGAATGGATCATAGACTTACTTTTTTGCCCAGTTACATGAGATATTCCGGCTGTGAAGGAATAGAATGCATAACCAGTGATTCCAATTTTAAGCTAAGAACTATGCTTACATTGTACTCTACTGGTTTTTCATGATAAAGAAAAATAAAGAGATCAGCTAACTAGAGAGGAAGAATCCAGCCCATACTGTGTAAAGGGAAAGACATTTCCCAAATATTAAGAAGAAAACTTGTTAATTCTGGGAATTTTGCTGTTTTTTCCCCCTTCATTAAGACAAAAGTGGCTAGAGATCCATTTCCCATAATTAAAGATGTAAGGGCAATGGTGTTATTTCTGTTAGTTGCTGTAACTTCTTTGGATATCAAACTCCTTTTCTTCATTTAAAATAAATGAGTAGCATAGCTTCCTCCACTCCAAACTAAATAAGGCAGCAGTGAAACCCATTTTCTATTTTAGAAAATGACTAATAGAACACATATTTCATAATGTCACATGATTCAAATAATTTATTACTCAGAAGCAATTAAAACCACTTCTGCACTTAACACTTAACTTGTCCTAGAATGACAACTAAAGTCACTCTTTTTTAATTCTTCATTTATCAGACCACATTTATATGGAAGAAGAAACAAAATCTTCTCAGGTTCCATGAGGAGGGAAGAAGGCAGAATGAAATCTGACATAGTGTAAAAATATGGTGAAAGTGTAATCTTAGAAAAATTGCACAAGGAATTAGACTTCTGTCTTTTTTTTTCTTTTTTTTTTTTTTGGCTGTGCTGCCCAGCTTGGGGTCTTAACCCCGCCCCCCCCCGCCCCCAACAGGAATAGAACCCGTGCCCCCTGCAGTGGAAGCTTGGTGTCCTAACCACTGGACCACCATGGAATTCCCTACACTTCTGTCTTTCTAAGGGAAATTCTCTACTCATATTTCCCTGAATACAGATAAATGCTAGAATATGAAAAAAGAAAAAAGATTCATTGTATTAATTAAAATGTTCTTTAAAACAGTATTTCAAAATTCCACAGCACAGTAGGAAGCTTTCTAATTACCGTATTCTGAAATGCATCAGGTAAGTAGGTAGTGAAATGGATTAAGTTAGTAAAGTTGATTCTTTTGCTTGTTCTAATAAGGGCTTGCCTTCTTTTGTGATAAGTTGGCCGGGTCTCCTATATATGAAACTCTTGAACAAACTGTAAATTATATGTATCCGCTGGCCTGGAAATTTCTACCCTTGATATTTTTGTTTTTGTTGCCCATTTGGGGGGCCAGAAGAGAGGATGCAGGCGAGGCAGAGTGGTGCAGTTTCCGCTCAACCCTACAAATCAGAAACAGGCTGGCATGAAGGGGAACACAACCCCCAGGGCAGGGATCAGGGTGAGGTGAGTGTGAGTCAGCAAGTGCAGGGTAGGATCCTGCTTCACTTAAAATTTTGATATTTTGTTTAGCACTGATTTCTTATTTTGTCTTAATTTTGACTTCTTACAATATTGCATTACCGAATTTTTTGGCAACCACTTATATTTTGTGCCCAAGCTGAATGCCTCCCTCGCTCACCCTAGTCCTGGCTTCTTCGAGCAGTACTGGGCTCTGCATTCAAGTACAGCCACACTATGGAGCCACACTAGAGCACAGTCTCTCCCCTTTACCCGCCTCGACTCTGATGGGCCAGTGAAGGCTTTTACAAGAGCTACGTTCTCCCTGCTTGCAAAACTGAAAATGAAGAGTACAGGAAAGTGTCCTCTTTGTCTCATAGGGAAGCTATGGGAGTGTTAGGAAGCAGTCGTCATTGATGGAACTGACACTGGGACTTTTAGCTGTTCTCTCTTCTCGTACTTATTTGTTTCTGGACAGGATCCATGATGAGTAAAATAACTAATGCCCTGAATGTGGATTTATTAGCAGGAGAAATGAGGAGTCAGAATAACACATTCACCCAAAAAGTATGAAAAAATCCCTCCAAAGCATGCTAAGTTAAAAAAAAATGAGAGGCTTGATATACATACATTGTAAATGTGACATCATCTCTTTTAAAGCATGAAATGGGCAAGATTACATGTGATAGAGCTAAACTAACACCAAGGGTACTTTTCCATTCTTGAAGAGATCAAAATAATACTTCCAGTCTCATTGCTAAACTTCTCATCAGCCTTGCTGGTATCTGTCTCCTTGTCTTTTAAAAAAAGATATGCTTACAGTCTTCAGGCAGGGGCAGATGCTGCCCCCCTTCCAAAAGAACCCTGGGGACCTGTTTCCTCTCCATTTGTGTTTGACATGAGTAGAGTGGAGAAAGGGACTAAAGTTTACTGAGTAACTCCTCTGTGTTGATGCTTTCGGAAGCATTATCTTACGTGATGCCCTGGCAGCCCTGGAAGAGAGAGTGGTTCTCACAAAGAGGATTAGGAGATGCAGGGAGGAAGATTTAGTCCTGGCAGGTGCTCCAGCTAGAACCATGAAGCCCCTAGGTGTCATACTGTTTTCTCTGGAGGGATATGATAAGACTAGGTGTAATATTACTACTCTGTCTTTCGTTTTCGCAAGTCATCTCATCATAGGATTGTTGGAAGGGTGAAATACAGGGGCTTCAGTTCTATTGTCTTCCATGGAAAGAAACTTTGAATACTGCAGAACTTTTTGGAAATTGAAAGTTAAAGCTATAGGCAATAAAATTTCTTGAAAGAAGAGAAAGTTGGGGATGTTGATCTGGTTAAACAGCTCTCAAAATTATCTGCTGACATTAGATGGGTATTGGTTTTTAGGCATTAACATGAGTATAAATCTATTTTATGCATTTCTATGCAAAGTCAATAGAAAAAAACCCTAAATATATATTTAATTCCTTAGGGTCCCAAAGCATTTTGAGGATTTAAACTGATAAACCAACCTCAAAGGGACTGATTCTTGCAACTAAAACACAGACACCTCTGGGGTGAAATGTGGCAACAGTTTGACAGGCATAGCAGTAGCTTAGGCCAGAAAGGATTTATCCAATTAAAATTATGGGATGAATTCTGGCTGGCAGAATGTAATTACCAGCCTTGGAATGGATCCAGGATCCTGAGGTTAACACCCCTCCTCTTGCCAACAACCCTCCTACCTGCCAACACTCCGAGATGGAGAAGGCTGGATCTGACACAATCGCACATAATACTGTTGTGACATCTAAGTACAATGATGATGATGTGAGAAGCATCATGAACCTGATTTTTTTTAACACTCATTATGTTACTTATTTTTATGCCACATTAGGCTAGAAACCAAATGTCCACATAAATGTTAATTTCCTCAAATCTGTGTTTAAAAAGTATAATTAGAAAATAAAAAATAGATTTAAAAATTAATTTATTCTGCCAAAGTAGTTATTTAGTGATTATTTCACTTCAGGAACGAAATTGGATCAAAATGGTGACATTTAATCCTTGTTACATTAAAAAAAAAAAAAGCAGGTCCTGATTTTTTGGAAGAGAAATGTATTCTCAAGGTTCACTGGCCTAAAAAAAAGGGAAATGCTTAATGCCTGGTTCCTACTAGCTGTAACTTAGAGTAAATGGGTATATGCTTTTGTCTTGGGGTGGGTCCAGATCATATTCGAAATCGCTCGCGGGCAGTATTTCTCAGAAGGGAATTTATTAAAGATGCGTTTGTGCGTAAACCGGAGAAAAGAGCCCCCTGCTGGTGTAGGATCAGTGGGTAATGACCTCATCATTAGATTCTAATGCCCTTTTAAAAAGTCACTCATTTACGAGAGAGTTGTGGAGAGTTACAGGTTAAAGCAGGTGGGGCGGGAAAGCACTTCTAGAGAGAACGTTAAGCCCTCCGGGCCGCCGGCACGCGGTCGGGGCCTGTGGGGTCGGGTGGGGTCAGGGAAATAGCTGCAGAGCCGAGCCGGCGGGCGGCGGGGCTGGAGCGCGCCCGGGCGCCCGGGAGGCGGGGCCAGCGACGGAAGCTGTGCGCCGGTCACGCGCGGCGACTCCGGTTTGGCGCCGTCCTACCCCGCCGCCCTCCGCGCCAGCAGGTGGGTCCCCCAAACCAAGGAGCAGCCAGCGTGGTCGCAGGTTCGAGGCGGGCCTGGGGCAGCGCCGCCGCCGGCCGCCCTTCGCTCCGGGGCCCGCCGCCCGCGGACGCTGATACCTCTGCTAGAGTCTCCCGGGGCCCTCAGCGAGTCCCTCGGGTTACCCTTCGGCCCACGCGGCTCTGGGCCACCCCACACCAGAACCTGGGCGGGACCGCGCAGGGGGTCCCAGCGACGGTGTCTGCCCCAGACCTCGCACTACAGCCTCCTCGGCGAGCCTCTGCCGCCCTAAAAGTGCCGGCGGTGGTGCGTGCGCAGGACACAGGTGATGTGGCAGAGCCGTCGCGAACTGCTCAGCTCCTCAGGGGCCCAGCCGGTTCCTCCGGGGGAGGCAGGTTTTAGGTCTCTCGCCGGAAGTAATCCCAAAGGTGATCGAAGTGGTGGGAGGCCTAGGATCACACTCCCTCAAACCATAAAGTGTTTGGGGTCTTGCTCGGGGTCACATTCTTAGAGGCGGAGGGAGAGAAAGACTTCCCTTTTTTACTAACAAGCCTGACTGCTTGCCAAAAGCTTGATATTGCCCCTAGTTTCAGCTTTTGCAGTGAAGGTGGATTTTTCTAACACCATCTTTGTGTGATTTAGCTGTCCACAGGGAATAAAAATGTGGAATGAGAGGATGAAACTAATCTTTTCTTTTGCACTGTTAGGGGTTGCCATAAACACCATTTGTTAAAAAGCATAATTATGTTGGGAAAGTGCCTGATGAGACAATTAAGCTACATAAACACACTGAAAACAAATGAAAGCCAGAAGACGCCCACACCCCTTGTGTAAAGCAATTTTTTGTTTACATAAAAACGAGAGATGTCTGAGCTGCTTTATTACAACAGTGTTATTAATGTCTACAAAATCCTAATGACCGTATTTTTTATGAATTTTCAATCATGAGATGATGGTCACGATATGAAAACCTGAACTAACCATGAAGCCCTGTATCCCCTCTTAGGTTAAAGTGATCAGGCCAACGAACAATCCTAGTGAACAGAAGCCAGTGGATTTATGCATGGAGAGCACTGTTAATGGCACCACAGCATGTTAGCTTAAACTTACGAGCTTAACGTGTGTCTCAGAGTTGGACATCATTCCCTGCAGTATCCCCACACGGAGAACATTATGTGGCACAAAATGACCCTCATCAAACATTTGCTGATCGAGTTCATGAGGGCCACATTCACTTTTAGCTATATTTAAAAGAGGCCGAAATATGATGACCTGATCTTAAAAAGGGGAATTATTTTCTTTTTGTTTTGAGATATTGAAATTTCTTTAGTTCATAGTATCATTCGGGGTATAGAAAGATAACTAGTTGAAAATGCCATTCTAGAGTACTAAGGAGAATCAAAGCAACCACCAAAGCTTGTGTGGAATCATTCCATTTTCAACAAAATCAGTCACATTTTTGGCTGATTATTGAGTAACATATCAGAGTAGTCCATGTCAGCTTTCAGTTCAAGGTACAGAGTCCTGTGAAACAAGATTTTAAGCTGTTATAGGGACTATGGAGATCAAAGTACAAGAGAAATTTAGTCATATAGTTGTCATTTAAAGCCCCCAAATGAGCCCCTTTTGTTAGTTCATATACTGCCCATGGCATGGCCTGTAGAGATACCCTTTCTCTCTGTCAGAATAGTTTTTGTAAGAATCAGCATATTAAGTAATCTGCCTCATTTCTCTTTTCTGCATTTCCCCAGTAATCTCATTTAATGAAAGTATCATGCCTCTTTGAAAATAGGATTAAACTGTGGAAGACAATTCTTAAAAGGAGTAACATACTTTAATGAAGAAGTTTCACAGGACAGAATTCAGACTGAGTAACTTGATGGATATTTTCTAGTGTTGTTGCTATCTTCATATGTTCATATGTGCATGACCACATATACATGGTTTCCTGGTTGAGTCAATCTGAGGATTTTATCCTTTAGGTGTTACTGAGGAATGAAATAGTGAAGTATTCATATTATGACTGCCTGGTTTCCAAAAAGCTATGATTTTTTTAAAAAGTTTAATGAACATGAAAATATGAATGAACTGTAGAAACCAAAATGAAGGCTTATTTTTCTCCTATTCTAGAAGAAAATTACCATGTCTTCTTCCAGACTGGGGCTCCGTTTGGCTGTCTGTTTATTAAACATTTCAGAAGCCAGAAGAAAATACATTGTTGAGAATGTAGCGAAAGCGGCTCTTCTTAAAAAAAATGGTAGGAACAACAGGCAATTGAAGTGAATATGTAGTGTTTTGATAATACAGTAATTTTTGTACTCTGCTAACAATGTCTATAGAACGCTCTTCTTCTTTCTTCCTGAATTTCCCCCCTTGCTCTTGGGCTGTTATAGCTTCTGCAGGACTCCAGGATACTGAGATAGACGACTTACTCAGATGTGCACATATGCTCTTCTCCAAACGCCTGCATACAATCCCCAGCATATTTCTTCACATTGGAGAGAGTGTCTGAAATGCACATTATTCAGGATATTGGCAGGCTCCTGAGGAGGATATATTTACATAAAGGTTTAATGTTTCCCTTATGGGCCATTTATATGATCATTAATAGAATGAGCATAATTGTATATTATGCTTTTTATTCAGCAGGTTAAATAAAAAATAAACTTACCAAATACCAAGTCCTCTTCAAAAGCACTCCTGCCATCAAAGCCCATGCTGTCATTGCAGCATTAATATTTCTACTGCATTTTCTACGCATAAAGACTCTTAAGCAGTTGCATTTAAGTGATGTGTGTATGATTACTCTGCGATTCAATTCAGAAGACTGAAACTCAAGCCTCCTTACTCCCTGGGCCAGTATTTACTATAAGACATACTACTCTCTTTTTTTTTAACCCTTGTTAAAATGTTCATGTGATGACATACAGTTCTAGACATTTGTTTTTACTTTCACACATACACAGAATATAGTGTATTTACAGACTTACAATCACTTAACTTTGTTATTTGAAATCAACAGCTTTTTGGCAACAGGTGAACGCTAGGGTCACGGCCCTAAAGCATTTGAGACAGTTGATTTTAATTTCTGATTGTCATTTTTTCTTTGGTTATTGCTTTTCATGAGAGAGAAGTGTTTTCCCCCAGCCCGTTGCTAACGCTGAGCACATCTAAGTTACTGTCTTGCAACTTTGAGGGAGCTGGAAATGTCTGTGAAAATTCCTGATAATTTCTAATAAGAAAGCTCCTCTGGAGTCAGTGTGCAGCTGTGCTTTTGCATTCTCTTTGCAGTAAGAGCCAGCTTGGGCCCCTCATTGTCAGATAGTACATCTAGTGGGATTGGGTGAATGTGCAGACATATTCCGTGATTAAGTGACTGGGCAGAGACATTTGTGGAAGCCACACACTGATGGACGCCTGGGTCTCAACTCACAGTTTTTATCAGCTTATTAGTGACAGCAGCTCAGACGGAATTATAGCTATTACACTGCATTACAAATACCAAACAATTTACTTCTGCTGAGGTTCATACTGACAGCTCCTCCTGCCAGCAGTAATTTTTTTTCTATATGCATGCTTAAGAAATTTCAGGAGTGTTTCATTCTTTCAGCATTTGATTCAATTGAATCATATGAAACTGAGAATAAAAGCTTTTCAGAAGAAGATTTAGAATGAAAAAATCAAATCAAATCTTTTCTTCTAAAAGCTTAGGTATGTTGAAAAAAATACATAAAAAGAGGTTGTATGATCGTGTTGCTACCCATCTTTCATAGTTTTAAAAATGCAGGGAAGGTAGCACTAGTTAAGAAAATGACCTGCTATTTTACAAATACTTTAAAGGCATTTATTTTTAAGTGAGTGGAATAAAACTATATCACCTATATTTTTTCCAATTAAGCAATGTGAAAACATTTAAATGACCTAAAAGGTCTTATGGAAAGAAAGCTGAATTATAAATTTTAGACCTATACCAGGGCAGGTCTCTGTAGATGCTCATTTGGCTATGAGTGAGTGACATAAGTTTATCTTTTCATGTTATTAAAATTAATAGTGCGGGGCTGCTGTAAGCTCTGTAGTTGCTGCGTGTAACTTATTTTTCCTCTCCTCTGAAAAGATTAATTGTTAAGCTGCCAGGGGACAGGGCGACAAAGATATAATGGCATAGTGAAAGGTTTAATTACCGTCTGAAAACTTTTGTCCTTCACTCTGAATTTGCTTTTGTAGGCATACGAAGAACTTTTAAGGAGCCTGAACCAGGCTTGTAAACTTCAAAAATAACTAGAGGGTTATGTGTGGTTGCCATACAAGGGTATGGCAGCTTTCTCCTTCAGGTTACACATTCAAGTGAGTCACAAGCTGCTGAAGGCTGGAAGTCATTAACATCTGAAGGCTGTTGGTGTCCTTTGAAAAGGAGATGGTGGAGTCAGAACAGTTTCTAATAGGCAGGTGCATGTATCCCAGAAACCTCTGCTCCAGGCACTAATTGGCCTATCCTAGTTTTTCCAGATGTTAGATTTTGATTTCTGGGTTTGGAAGGAAAAATTGACAGGGCCTAGAAGATGAGATTGATAAGGAACAGAATTTAGAGTGATATGATTGGGCGATTGAAAGAAGAGCTACTGTCTTAGACTGAGTTAAGAGAACTTTGGCAAGTTCAGAAGCAAGTGCCAGAAAAGTTCTCTCATAGACACCAAAGCCTCGTATCTGAGCTGAGCCATCTGCTTGTATAGGAAGCACTGTAAGAAGTGGATGTTACTGTCTACAAATTTCATGATTAGTCAGTGTCACTTCAGAGGTCACCCCCCAGAATTTTTCTCTTAAACTATTTCTATTTAATTATATCAGAAGAAATAAAGTATTAAGATTTCATCACAGAAAAAAATTCTTGCATTGATGTGTTGCTTTCTTTATAGGACAGAAACATCCTGAGGTATCAGTGCTCAACGTATTTTCTGATCAAGGGTACAACAGATCAGTCATTACAATAGCAGCTTCTGTTGCTGAGTTAGGTAAGATTTCAGTTTCTATTTTTTTACATATGTCTTTTGGCGAAGGGTCAGCTTCAGGTACACCTGAATGCTCTTTAATCACTGATTACCTGTGTTAATCTGGATACTCCCCTCCATTACATAGGGAGTCTACCTCAAAACTGCATTTCATCATTTTTGTGAACATGTACCGCTTAAACATTTCCCATTTCCTCTTCATTAAAATGAACCTTGGGGGTCCAATATTTAATAACATTCTTTCCTTGAAGATGATCACATATCCTTTGTGGTTAAGAAAAATATCTTCATGTTTTAACCTGTGAAGTAATAGTGTTGAAGTCAGCCTTGATTTCACTGATAAGTTGACATGGAATGAAACATGCTAAGCAGTTGTGTTTTAGGTTGGGAGCCTGACATCTTGAGTTGGTCCACTGGGTGAAATGAAATGGGTTTCAAGTCTTCTGTTGTAAGGTTTAGTGGGACAACTTGAATTTGAAGTTTCATAATTGTTTAAACAAAAACCTGTATTATTTTAGTATTGCTTGGTAAAGGGTTTAAAATATTTTCTTTTTTAAAAAAAATTAATTAATTTATTTATTTTTGGTTGCGTTGGGTCCTGGTTGCTGTGCGTGCATTTTCTTTAGTTGCTGAGAGCGGGGGCTACTCTTTGTTGTGGTGTGCAGGCTTCTCATTGTGGTGGCTTCTCTTGTTGGGGAGCACTGGCTCTAGGTGTGCGGGCTTCAGTAGTTGTGGCTCGTGGGCTCTAGAGCACAGGCTCAGTAGCTGTGGCTCACGGGCTTAGTTGCTCCACGGCATGTAGGATCTTCCCGGACCAGGCCTCAAACCTGTGTCCGCTGCATTGGCAGGCGGATTCTTTACCACTGCGCCACCAGGGAAGTCCTAAAATACTTTCAAATAAACTTGACTTCAACTTAGCAGATTGTCTTTTTTCAAAAGGTATATTTGTTTGGAAAACAAAGAGCTGATGGATAGTTCCCAGCAGATGTAGGACTGATTATCTTCCTTATTGTTTAGCTCTCTTGCCAAATGGTCGTACTGCACTGCAAATAAAAACTCAGAGTAATAACATAACACTCTGATGTGTCTGTAATATGTATTTAGATAGAATAATTTAATGAAAAATCTAATTATAAGAGCAGAAGTAAAATACTTATGCTTTTAAAAATTTATGTTTGTGTGTATATTTTATTATAAATTCATAAAATATTCTGAAAATAACAAGGAATTTTATCAGATTAATCTGATAAAATTGAAAAAATTTGAAGTAACCAATTGTAAAAAAAATACAATACAGTGTTTCTTAAGACTGATAAACTTTGTATACTTCCTCCACTTTGGGGAGTAAGGAGTTAGAAGAAATGTGAAACTTTGTGACACTTGGGAGGTGGGGAGAGGGGAAATGTTGGGTCTTTCATTTTTCTTTATTTTGGATGGATAAACAATCTTCTATACATATTACAGAAAAACAACTGGTGGGACAATAATAAATATAGCTACTTCTTTAGATGCGATTGAAAGTTTAATTTTTTTATTTTTTATTTTTTTTAAGGCAATTCCGTTCTGGCTGCCTGCCTGGAGGCCTTCCAGTCAATTGATATGGAGGTTCAAGAGGGGATCCATCCTTGCCTGGGAGCAGTGGACCTGATTCCCATTTACCCTCTCTCTGGTGTTGGAGTGGAAGAGTGTGGAGCTGTGGCCAGAAGTAAGAGAAAGTTTGGGGTAGTGTGTTATTCCTTAATGGAAACCATTTTTACAAGTCAGAACAGCTTGTGACAATATAATCACTCCTCAGTTCCCTGGGAAAAGTCAACCTTGAAGAATTGTATCAACAGTAAGCTTCCATGGGTTGCAGTGGCACACAGTGTCGCTGTGACTCATCCTTCCACTTTCTACCCCATGATGCTGTGGAACACTAAATGCTGTAGGATGCAGCAAATCAACCATTGTGACCCTTGCAAATTCACGATAGACGATGAGGAGACAGCAGTAGTCTCTAATGAGTTCTTTAGACTCTTCGGGGCAGGACGATGGTGTGTTTCACCCATCTTTGTCCTATTTTCTTGAGCAGGAGTAATGATGAGGTTGAAAACCCACTTAAATGTTAACTCCTACCCCTTTTTCCTCTGATTTTTTTTTTTCTTTTTTCCTTGTGCACAACGCTCTTTAAGGTTTTCTTTAGAACTGAACTGTCACATGCTTGATTTCAGCCCCATGGGCAAGTTTAATTTGGAAAATTTGAGCTATGTCACTTGAGGTGTTTTTGAATTAAGCAAATTGGGAGAAAAGAAAGACCTTTTGCCTGGACTGTCTAGCTGGTTAATTATGAGATGCAGAGACTCATAACCTTTGGGGAAAAGTCCGCCTTAGGATGACTGCAAACTTCTCTGTATGACCTCAGAAATCCTCTGTGGTGGTGCCTCACTTTTAGGTAATAGGGAAATGTCTAACATTTGGGATGTAGATTTGGACTCTAGCTGAGCTCCATCAAGCGCTAGAAATATGAAATGAGACTTGTTTCCAAAGGTGTATCTCATTCCATGTGTTGCATTTTAACATGACCTGACAATCGATGGATTATTTCCCAGAGAAATCATGGCCCAAAATTTGCTTTACTTTTCATCTAAGAAAGAGTTAAAATTCAGCATGGGGGAAAATGCATTTCACACAAAAATGAAGAGTTCAGAATTGTCCAGACCAGAATAATGATTTTAATGTCTTCAAAAAAATTATGTTCAATTACATTAAATCTCAAATTAGCTAGTACATGAAGTTCTTCATTACATCAGGACTAGTCCACCCCAGATGTTTGGCCAGAGTAAGAGACAGTTGACAACAGGAGGGTCTGGACACAGTATTTCTCCCTTCCTTTGCCCTTTTGCTTCATTGGCAGCTACTGTACCTCATGATTTAAACATGGACATTTCTAATTAAATGAGAGCTCAGCTGCATTCTTGAACTAATTTATAACATTCGATTTGAAACGTAATAGCTTCAATCTTCATCTGATTAAAACCAGTCATATACTGTACATGGTTACTATTTTGATGCTCCAACATGCAGTTTTTATTTTTACATTCTCCTTTCTACACAGCTGTTCGTCTAATATCACCCAATTTTTTTTGGTTTGTTTTTTTTGTTTGTTTTTTTGGTAACAGCATGCTCAGGCATTCGTATGAGGCAGAAGTATTCATGTTCTAGGATCTCACTGTTTTCAGAACAGTGACAGGATGTTTTTCACTAGAGTAACCCCTTGTCAGGGAAACCATGTTAAAATAGTAATTTAACTAACTTTCTTTGGGAGGAAGGGCAATGGAGAACATTCCAGTGACATAGAAGATAGTTGATATTGACATGTGTAATTCATGTATGTTTTATATGCAAAAATTCTGGATAATATATATTTTAGAGCTTTTTAAAAAAATATTTATTTATTTATTTTTGGCTGTGTTGGGTCTTCGTTTCTGTGTGAGGGCTTTCTCTAGTCGCGGCGAACGGGGGCCATTCCTCATCGCGGTGTGCGGGCCTCTCACTGTCTCAGCCTCTCTTGTTGCGGAGCACAAGCTCCAGACGCGCAGGCTCAGTAGTTGTGGCTCACGGGCCCAGTTGCTCCGCGTCATGTGGAATCTTCCCAGACCAGGGCTCGAACCTGTGTCCCCTGCATTGGCAGGCAGATTCTTAACCACTGCGCCACCAGGGAAACCCTATTTTAGAGCTTTTTGATAGCAGCTGGAAGCTTGCTTATTCCTTAAGCAAGGGATTCTTAAAGTGAGGTCCAAAGTTGATGTTCAGGGGACTTATAAATAATGTCAAAATCACTTGTAAGTTTTTATGGTGTGCACTTGTGTATACATACATAGATACACTCATAATTTTGCATATAATTTTAGTTTAAGAACTTCTAGAATAAAGGGCACAGCAATGCAGAGTCCTAGAGGTGGAAGCAGCCTGGGCTTGAGGACCTGAAAGGACTGCAGTGTTGCTGGCTGAAACTTACAGATGGGGGTGGGGTGGGAATGTTAAGAAATGAAGCTCCAGAGGTAATCAGAGGCGAGGTCATGAAGTCTTATATGCCAGGTTAAGGTTCACACTTTATCCTAAACGCAGTGGAAACTGTTGGAAGAGTTTTAAGAAAGAAAGTCTATGATTGGCTTTGAACATTAGAAAGATAACTTTGTTTGTATGATAGAGAATGGACAAGGAGTAGGTAGATCAGTCTGGAAAGGTGATGGTGGCCTAAGATAATAGAGAATGGAGAGAATGGGGAGACTCCATAGGAGGTTGGGGTATGAGCAGTGGTATGAAAGTGTCTTCACTTACAGATGCTGCCATGTAAAAAAAGGTGACACATAGATCTAGTCTATATTTATTTAAAGCTTATAATTTAAAAAAATGTTTTGGACTTTGGTTTTCATATTCTATAAAACCACATTTGATCTATTAGGCTCCATTTCATTTTTATCTGTATTATGTCTCTAAAATTTTTCTCCTCCTCCCTTTTTCCCTTCTCCATTCCATCCTTTTCTCTCTCCCTTCTTTCCTCCTTCCGTTCCTCTCTTTGCTTCTTTTTGTTGTTATCAAAATGATACATGAACATGGTTAAAAGTCAGATCTACAGGGTTTGTTCCCCAAACTCTAGACCTACATAACTTGCCTTTCCTCCTCACTCTGTACACACTTCAGTTTCCTTCTCCCCTGAGCCAAGTACTTTCAACTCTTTTATTATTTAGGATTCAAATCCAGATATCTGAATATCATACCTGTATTGGTACTTCTTGTTTTTTTAAGTTTTAGGCATTATCTGTTGACTTCTCACTGCAAAAGATGAGAATTTAGCTTCCTTTCACCCACCTCTCACCCCCAGCACACACACACACACACACACACACACACACACACACACACACACACACACACACATGTTTCCCACTTACTTCCGAATTCTCCCTCCTCACCATATAGTTATATCTTGGAACAGTATTTAGTGGTCACATTATTATAACTGTGTAAACATTATTTATAATGAAGCATTTAGAATGTTATTATTTTACCCTTTCTCTACAACTTTTTCTTTTTGCTGCAGTTGATCATTATCTTTTTGATTGTTTGCTTACTTTTTTATATACTTACCACTGGTTTAACCCCACACTCTGTCACTAATGACATCTCTCCATGCATTCAGATAGAACACACCATGTATTGACTGTTCTATAAATTTCATCTTCTTAAAAAAAAAAAACTATCTTTTAGGGGAATTCCCTGGTGGTCCAGTGGTTAGGACTCTGCGATCTCACTGCTGAGGGCCTGGGTTCGATCCCTAGTTGGGGAACTAAGATCCCACAAGCCGCACAGTGTGGCCAAAAAAACCCCCAACTTTCTTCTAGAACTCTCTGATCTGGTTCAGTTAGGACGATTTACTCTCAATTTGTTGAGGATGACTGTCATCATGGCATCTCCCATTACTTTTATCCTGGGTGTTCCCTTCATCTTTCTCTATTTTGGATCCCCTGGTTCCTGAATCCCATATCTTCTCTTTTTTTCCCCCTTCTTCTATGTCCTTGTTTTGGTGGAACATATCCTCTACTAGCTTTCCAAAAAAAAGTGGGGTGGGGGCAGGGAGAGTACATTTTTGAGAACTTGCATGTCTGAAAATGCCATTATTCTACCTTCACACTTAATTTTTAGTTTAGCTAGGTATAGAATAATAGGTTAGAAATAATTTTCCTTTATTTTGATGATGTTGTATCAATTCTCATTTCCATGTTGCTGTTGAGACTTTTGAAGCATTATGATTCCTGATCTTTGTATGTGACCTGTCACTTCTCACTGGAAGCTTGTAAGATCTTCACTTTGTTCCTAGTGTTCTGGAATTTCTGTGATGTGCCTTTGTATACGTCTGTTTTCATTCATTATGCTGGATAACTGGTAGGCCCTTTGAATTCTTGAAACTTGTCCCCCAGTGCTGGAAGTTCTCTTGAGTTATTCCATTGATATTTCTTTTTTTTATCATCTTTATTAGAGTATAATTGCTTTAAAATGGTGTGTTAGTTTCTGCTTTATAACAAAGTGAAGCAGCTATACATATACATATATCCCCATTTCTCCTCCCTCTTGCATCTCCCTCCCACCCTCCCTATCCCACCCTTCTAGGTGGTCACAAAGCACCAAGCTGATCTCCCTGTGCTATGCGGCTGCTTCCCACTAGCTAGCTATTTTACATTTGGTAGTGTATATATAAGTCCATGCCACTTTCTCACTTTGTCCCAGCTTACCCTTCCCCCTCCTTGTGTCCTCAAGTCCATTCTCTACGTCTGCCTCTTTATTCCTGTCCTGCCCCTAGGTTCTTCAGAACATTTTTTTTTTTTTTAGATTCCATATATATGTGTTAGCATACGGTATTTATTTTTCTCTTTCTGACTTACTTCACTCTGCATGACAGTCTCTAGGTCCATCCACTTCACTACAAATAACTCAATTTTGTTTCTTTCTATGGCTGAGTAATATTCCATTGTATATATGTGCCACATCTTCTTTATCCATTCATCTGATGATGGACACTTGGGTTGCTTCCATGTCCTGGCTGTTGTAAATAGAGCTGCAATGAACATTGTGGTACATGACTCTTTTTGAATTATGGTTTTCTCAGGGTATATGCCCAGTAGTGGGATTGCTGGGTCGTATGGTAGTCCTATTTTTAGTTTTTTG